AGATATCTGGCCCAGGGCTCTGAAATGCATCGCCACCGCCATCGCTCCAGCGCGCCGTAGCGTTAATGTTGTTTTCGAAGTTGTTGGCAGCCACTTCTCTACTCTTCTCACTGACTAAGCCACCATTCCTGGCACGCAAGAATCACACGTGCGGAAGTAGGAACAGGACTGGCAAATGGCGCCTGACCCTGGAATGTAGTTAGTGTGTTCGGCACAAGCTCTCTCCAGCTCTAGTCGGATCGAGCTGATCACATTCAACGCACCAACTCGACCCGACTCCATGGACCCAGGAGTCTGGACTTCTCTGCGGAACTTTCCCGGGTCGCGATATAGCGGGAGACGTCGCTATCCCCCGAGCTCTGCCAGCAGGCCCGTACCGTCTGCTCTGCGCCCGGGGAGATTGTCCAGCCTGCCATGCGCTCGCCGCCCGTCAGAAGGGGTAATATTTCCGAAAACTGAATATTTGAGCGGGCTGCAGGGTGCAGCCGCTAAAGGTCACGTACTGAACTGTGGCCGCCCGGCTCTCCGCTAGATTGCCCAAATGCGGTGAGAAAATGAGGCTCAAGTTAACTGAAAAGAATCTTTTGCTGCCGCAGCACTAATAATTTCAGGAATAATCTAGCTAAGGTGTTCGGCTGGACGGTCGAGCGCGTGTCGCGTCTCCTCATTGGTGCCGCCTGGTAAAGCGTAGGCTCGGCCGCCGACCCCGCCGTGCGGTGTCTGCTGCCACGTCTGGTAAAGCGTAGGCTCGGCCGCCGACCCCGCCGTGCGGTGTCTCTGCTGCCACGTCACGCCGCAGCTGTTTGCTGCCGTGGGCGAACGGCTCCAAAGGTCAATGAGGTCAACGATGTGGTCAGGTGGTTGTGGCTGCCTTGAAAGGGTCGTGACAACCGCATGGTCGTACTTTCGTCGGTTTTGAATAAGCGACGTTGCTGGGTGCGATGGAACCGTGTTTGACGTGCATACTGCAGCACCTCTGTTATTGCTGATCCGCTGGGTGAAATGGACTCTGCTACGCCTCTCGTAGGTACCCTGATCTTGAACATGCCAGCCCACGCGGTGCAAAACATACTCCCTCACTGTCCTTCCCTCCTTGCACTTCCCCCACTCATAACCTCAAATCCTGTCAGGCGATGCGACTTCTGGATTACTGACGCCCTTGATCTGGTCGTGTCTGTTCTGTGGTTGTCTGTAACTGTCTGTTGACCATCTCCATGTTTGTGATCCTAAGTTCTATTTTTGGTCTGACCGTCCGGGTGAGTCAGACTGACTTTAGGTCAGACTGCAGGTGTGACCTTAGCTCTATCATCCTGACCATCTTGGTGTGGCCGTGCCCCGGCCAGTGACCCTCTTTTCGTGACCTGATAAATCCGTGCCTGTGACCCTCTGCCTGTCTTGACACAACTGTGTACCTGTCTGTGATTTACACCTTGGCCTGACCTTATATCGTGACCTGATCCTATCTTTAGACTTCATCTTACTGATCTCGTAAGTTGGCCTGACCCTTAAGGTGGCCCTTACACATCGGGCTTTACCCCGGCGGTACTGCAATCCTTTGACGTCTGCTGACACTTAACATGCGCTAGGGTGGGGAGTCAAATTGACCCCCCCCCCCCCGAAGGTTTTTGTCCAAAATGGTTTCCGAACGGCGCGGCGCAGCCGCGCAAAATTTTGTTTAGCTGTAGACAATTGAATAGTGGATCGTTTGGCATCAAAAATTTAGGTGTACCTTGTAAGATCACTGACCTGTGACAGGTCAGAGTCAGGTCATGGTTTCAGCGAAGGCAATTTCTAGGGAATCCTTCAATCTGATCTAATAACAGAGTGTTAGACGAAGCCATACATCTCTGAGATGCTTTCTTAGGCAACACAACAGTTGAATGAACAAATTATATTCACCTAAGTTCAGATATAAAGGTCACACCAAGGTCAAAACCAACCTGTTTTGTTACTCTAGGGCTTGTTGTATGGGATTGTTTCTGGTGCTCATTTCGAATTTGTTGATAACAGGAACCGCATTATGCATCTCCCATGGACTTCTTAGAGGTCAGAATAGGTCATTGATCGAAAATGACCTAGGCCAACATTTTGTTTTAGGAATATACTGCCTAGCGTCACCTTTGTCACTTAGTCAAAGGTAAAACTCAAAGCAATCTTGCATGATATTGGTCACCTTGGCCTTCAAAAGATCAAACAAGGTCACCGAGCTTTGATGAGCATGTGACTTTTTGCTTAGAAACGGTTATCTAGGTTCTGGGGGCACTTTGGAGACCAACCTGGAATTTGATCTTGTTTGATCTTTTTGATTCAAAGGTAATGGCCTAGGAACCTGAAACTTTGACCTAAGTGGGTTCACGTACAGGTCAACACACCCCGTAAATTTGTTGTCTCTGGCCTTCTTTGTTCCCGAGATCTCATGGGGGAGTCAAATTGACCCCCCCCCCCACACCCGTGCGAAGGGTGTCTAGCCGGCCACCCGGGCGCGTGTTAGTGTGTATCAAATATCGTAGCCCCATGCCTCACTCAACGTAGTCTTGTCTATCTCTGAAACCCATTCTCCATGTCCCTATATTAAGTATTTTCACTAGAACTTGTAATTTAATCTATCCTTTGAGACCAAAAATTGCAAGCAAATTACATTGGAATTTGTGCACGAATTGACATATCGAGACATTTCAGTTGCTGGGTATGAAGGTCACGATACATGCCATTTGGCTTTCGAACCGTCGGAATGCCTCGACATATTGCATTGCCTTGACATATTGCATGACATCCAACATAAAAGTTAAGCTTTCTTGACGGAGCAGGTGGCATGAATCATACAGGATTTTGTGCACTGCGAGGCGTCATTACGGTGCTCTGGAAGATTCGAATCGCTACCGCTGCTGACCGAAAAATAATCAAGCCGATTGGTTTTTGGTCGACTGATGAGCTCGTTCCTGGCGGTGCAAGGTCAAGCACGACCTCAGCTCAAGGGTGGGGGACCTCCTCTCAGTCACGACCTGGCCGCGTATGCGTGGTTTTGTTGGGCCCTATTTGAGGGGAAGGGAGCTCATCTCTTTGGCAGCAGCAGCAAGATCCCTCAGCACCTTCATCTGCGTGGCGATTGCTTCGCAGAGTTGGGAAGGTATCTGTATTGCCCAACGCTGTCGTGCCCATGACTACCAAACACATGGCTGACAACGCCAGGTTCTGTCAGTGGTCCCATGAACAGCACAGGGGTTTTCATTGATGCTGGGAAGGGGTCTTGCTTACTACAACGCCCAAACACATAGAATCGAGATATTGGTCAACACAAAGCCATGCCCTCAAATGAGATGCCGAACGCAAGGTGACGAGAAAGTCTTGCGCTGGGCCGCGCGGTCGAGAGTAAAGTGCTGACATTTGGCTCACCCCAAAACATGTTCGTCCGGCTCGAGTGAGACCCCTCTGCAGCTGTTTCAAGAGCAACTGGAGCACAGAGGGAACCAAAAACTGAGTTAGACCTCGCTGATACTGGCGAATGGAGCAGCCGTGCAAACGACGCCGGCTTGCCGTTTCTGGCACAGCAGTAAGTTCGACGACCGCGTCGTGAGCGGCTGATGGATCGTCCCCGGGCAGCTCGCAGTCCAGACCTACCGCCGCCGGACATCGTCGTGAGCCGGCTGATGGATCGTCCTCGGGCAGCTCGCAGTCCAGACCTACCGCCGCCGGACATCGTCGTGAGCCCAGCTCGCATCCAGACCTACCGCCGCCGGACATCGTCGTGAGCCGGCTGATGGATCGTCCCGGGCAGCTCGCAGTCCAGACCTACCGCCGCCGGACATCGTCGTGAGCCGGCTGATGGATCGTCCCCGGGCAGCTCGCAGTCCAGACCTACCGCCGCCGGACATCGTCGTGAGCCGGCTGATGGATCGTCCCCGGGCAGCTCGCAGTCCAGACCTACCGCCGCCGGACATCGTCGTGAGCCGGCTGATGGATCGTCCCCGGGCAGCTCGCAGTCCAAGACCTACCCGCCGCGGACATCGTCGTGAGCCGGCTGATGGATCGTCCTCGGGCAGCTCGCAGTCCAGACCTCCCGCCGCTGGACATCGTCGTGAGCCGGCTGATGGATCGTCCTCGGGCAGCTCGCAGTCCAGACCTCCCGCCGCTGGACATCGTCGTGAGCCGGCTGATGGATCGTCCCCGGGCAGCTCGCAGTCCAGACCTCCCGCCGCTGGACATCGTCGTGAGCCGGCTGATGGATCGTCCTCGGGCAGCTCGCAGTCCAGACCTCCCGCCGCTGGACATCTGGTTTTGGTCTATGGCCCAGCCAGCAGTTTGGCGATCCTCTCCGACCACGATGGAGCAGCTGAGGCGGACTGGCAGTGTACGCCATGGCGATGAATCGGGGCGAAGTTAGTCGAGCTATCCGGGGCCTCCGCCGCCGCGCACAGACCCGCGTGGAGAGGGCGGCGCTGCTGTGGGAACTATATGCGCCCCTCAGAATTGGTGATGCAAAAGATAAGGAAGCCCGAAACTGTCCCAAGCACCTTTGAACGTTTTTCAACCAAAAAAGGAGAGGTTTTTCTCCTGGCGTATTGGAAGATAGTCGATTCTGGCGAGCAAAAAAGTGTCCGACTGCATCAGCTTCCGGGACCTTCTGTCTCTTCCTCACCACCTGACCACATTCTTATCCGTGTTTCTGACTACCCGTCTTGACTCGACCGTCCATATCTGTGCCTCTCGATCCGACCGTGCCCGTGTCTGCACCTCCCGATCTGACCGTGCCGATGTCTGTGCCTCTCAATCTGAACTTGTTCGTGTCTGTGCCTCTCGATCTGACCGTACCGATGTCTGTGCCTCTCAATCTGACCGTGCCGATGTCTGTGCCTCTCGATCTGACCGTGCCGATGTCTGTGCCTCTCAATCTGAACGTGTCTGGGCCTGTGCCTCTCGATCTGACCGTGCCCGTGTCTGTGACTGGTCATCTCCCCTTACCGTGCCCTTGGCCTGACCTCGCTGCCGTCTGCCCGCGGCAGGCAGCAGCGGCGCGATGAACCTGGAGCGGCGCGAGGAGTCGGAGGGCCGCTGCGACGCGCTGCCCTGGATGCTGGAGGCCTCACCGTCAGCCTACCTGTACCTGTCGGTGCCCGGCCGTCGGGAGGCGCCCGGCGTCTGCCAGGCGGCCACACGTCTCGTCGTGTCGGCGCCCGACCTTCCCGAGCCGCTGGCGGTCATATGCCCCGGTGGCGGCGACATGGTGAGAGCCGCAGCGGTGTGGTGAGAGCTGGTGAGAGTCAGGGGCGTAAGACGAGCCAGGGAAGTGAGTGGTGTGATGTGGAGAGAGAGAGGGGGAGAGAGAAAGAAAGAGAGGGAGAGAGAGAGGGAGAGAGAGAGAGAGATAGAGAGAGAAAGAGAGAGTCGGCAAGGTGTATGGTGCGACGCCGTGAGAGTGGATGAGGCAGGCGGTGTGATGTGGGGAGAGTTGGCGAAGTGTGTGGTGTGAAATGGTAAAGCTGGGAAGTCGTGTGGTGGGATGCGGCTAGAAAGGTATGTGTGTTGGTGTGACAAGAGTCGGCGAGGTGTGTAGGATGACGTGATGAGATTAGGAGTTATGTGATGCGACGAGGTGAGAGTCGGGGAGTTGTGATGTAACGGAAGCGGGACGGTGATATAATTATTCGTGTGTGAGATGGGAGTGAACGGAGTTGCGCTAGCGAGAGGGAGAGCGGTACCAGCACAGAGGGTGAGCGGTACCAGCACAGAGGGTGAGCAGCTGTGCCGAATGGCAAATCTTTGGTGGCTTTAGGGGAGGAAAATGTACTATCCAAGAGCATAGTGGAGACAATAGCAATGGAGATATAACTGCCTTAGGTCCACGTCCTGCAACCCTTTTCTTCATTTTCAAAAACGTCGTGACACGCGCATGACATGGTGACCCGGCCACACCCATCTTCGCCCATGTCAGACCTGAAGAACTTGCATGAAGTGGCGATTGCTGCCGGCACGTGTCCTGGCCTTGAGCTACGCGAGCTGATTGGTTATGGCAGCTGTGCCGATCGCTGACCACGCGCTGATTGACTATGGCGGCTGTGTTGATCGCTGACCACGCGCTGATTGGCTGTACCGATCACTGACGCGCTGTTGGCCGAGGTCAAGAGACGCGGTCAAGCATCTCTGTCTGGCACTGCCGGCGGGATCCCAGAGACCGAGCTGAGTGTGCACTGACCAGGTATCCTTCAACGGGTAGGATTTTCTGCGTGCGGTCCTCCCTTCAGCTATAAGGACATGGCCACAGCCAAGTATTACCCATTCCTGATCTGCAACTCGCTCCCGTTTCCTGCTCACTGCCCTTTGCTCGGACAGTGGTTCTGAATTGTGACAGAAATTTGAGAGAAAAAATTTGATCCGGAGTACCCAGATTTACTCCTTTTGCTTGGATAATTGCAAAAGTACCGTGAATCTCGCCAACTGTCATTGAAATATCTTATAATATACAGCAACACAAAGTAAAGGCTACACACTTGTACTGTGTAGTGCTGCTTGAGACACACCCCGACATCCCTGGAACTCTTTTAGATCTCTTAGCCGGGTGCGTAACATCTGCGGACTCTGCAACCTGTCCAGCTCTCGGGACTCTCCACCCGGTCCAGCTCTCAGGACTATGCACCCAGCCCAGCTATTGGGACTCTCCACCCGGTCCAACCCTTGGGACTCTCCACCCGGTCCAGCCTTCGGGACTCCCCACCCGGTCCAACTCTCGGGACTCTCCACCTGGCCCAGCTCTTGGGACTTGGGACAGCTCCACCCGGTCCAGCCTTCGGGACTCTCCACCCGGTCCAGCTTTCGGGACTCTCCACCCGGTCCAGCTCTCAGGACTCTCCACCCGGTCCAGCTCTCGGGACTTGCGCCGGTTCGAGCTCTCGGGACTCCACACCCGATCCAGCCTCGGGACTCTCCAACCGGTCCAGCTCTCGGGACTCTGCACCCGGTCCAGTTCTCCGGATGCTGCACCCAATCCAGATCGTCACTCACTCTGTACGAATACTCATTACTTACCCGAACCGCGAAGTGCATGACTCTCGGCATTGAGAGTCGCGCTCCTGCACGAGTTCACTGGCCATGCTGTACGGGTTCACCGAACGTAGTGTCCTCAGTCTGCATTGTCGCGCTCCTGCACGAGTTCACTGGGTATGCTGTACGGGTTCACCGGGCGTAGTGTCTTCAGTCTGCATTGTCGCGCTCCTGCACGAGTTCACTGGGCATGCTGGACGGGTTCACCGGGCGTAGTGTCTTCAGTCTGCATTGTCGCGCTGCTGCACGAGTTCACTGGGCATGCTGGACGGGTTCACCGGGCGTAGTGTCTTCAGTCTGCATTGTCGCGCTGCTGCACGAGTTCACTGGGCATGCTGTACGGGTTCACCGAACGTAGTGTCCTCAGTCTGCATTGTCGCGCTCCTGCACGAGTTCACTGGGCATGCTGTACGGGTTCACCGGGCGTAGTGTCTTCAGTCTGCATTGTCGCGCTCCTGCACGAGTTCACTGGGCATGCTGTACGGGTTCACCGGGCGTAGTGTCTTCAGTCTGCATTGTCGCGCTCCTGCACGAGTTCATTGGGCATGCTGTACGGGTTTACCGGGCGTAGTGTCTTCAGTCTGCATTTCGGGCTGACTCAGCCCTGACTTCGCACCGGCGCGCTGATGTGGCTCGGCGCCGAGCGTCGATTTTGCCGCAGCTGCTGTGTAAGGAATCCTGGCGACAATTTCGAATTCGGAAAGTAAGGAATGACGGCACGCAGTGTTGAGGCGACGTTGGCTTCCGCCGCGTGAGTGCATGTGAATTTTGAAAGGAACTATTTCCTGCTGTGACCTGATTTTTCCTTCGCATGGCGTTTGCCAGAGTACGCTTGTCGCATTATAGTGCTTGCCTCAATCTGACCCAAAACTGAACCCAGGCTTGACCTCAACTTCGCCCAAATCTGACCCGAACATGTCTTCGAAATAATTCAGACTCGACCTGAACCTGACTTAAACCTGACCTGAACCTAGTCTGATCCTGCCTCAAACCCAACCCGAACCTGACCTCATCCAAACATAGAGTTCCCGAACCTTGGTCTTCCCTGAACCCGACCCTCCCTGTGTCTCACCTTATTCGACACTGATCTTACTTGAACTCGAACTGAAGCAAACCTGACTACTCGAATCTAGGCTTACCTGAATATACCTTACCTGAACTTGACCTCGCGTGTCCCCAACTGCTCCAATCTGACCTGGATGTTACATGAACATGACGAGAACCTGAACCATACCTGACCAGGCCACTCTGGACCCACCCTGGGGCTGCTCTGGCCCTACGCGGTCTTCAGCTGGGACCCGGTCCGATCTGACCGCCTGGCCTTCCCGGCAGGTGGAGGTGTTCAGCGCCGGCTGGCGAAGAGGGGAGCGGGCAGAACCGCTGGGACAGCACCAACGCCATCTGGTGCTGGATGTGGTGTCGGCCGTGCCTGGCCAACCGGTGAAGGTCAGCTGGCTGGAGCTGGTGCGGCCTGAGGTGCAGAGGTCAGTGACCTGGGAGGAAGGCATCGGTTGCACTTGGTGGAGCATTGCCAGCTTGCCATTGCTTATCGCTATGCCCATATGCATACACATTGTTGCTGTCAGTGGCCGTGCAACTTGCGAGTGTGCAGTTGTGCAAGTGGCCGTGCGGGAAGTTGGCCTGTTCGTGGCTTGTATAGCGAGGTAAGTGCAGAGTGAATCATACGAAAAGCTGGACAGACGCCTTGGAGTGGTCTAGGTATGTCCTTCAGGAATTAGTGAGAAGAGCGAGCATACCAGTCATAAATGTAGATTAAATCACTACAAAGTGTGAAAAATTTGCATTTTCATAAGAAGTTGGTGTGTCAACTTATTATTTCTCCCTGAAACGCAAACGTCATTAGCTTTGGTCATTGGCTCATCTGGCAAGAATATTTATTTTTTGCTGAATGTTTTCGGCTCGGAAAGACTTGCCACGAATGCTCGCTTGTGTCCTAGAGCTCACATCCACACAAATATAGATAAATTGCCTACTCATTGTTTGATTGCGTCATTGTACCTTGCACAGCACAAATTGAGTGCCAACTGACGGCCGTTATATCTGTAAATCGTGTCCACGAACGCCTGATATGAACGCCTCGACAATTGCACTTATTTCAGCCTTGGCCGCTGCATGACCAGTGGAATGGCCGGATTTGGATCACATTGTGCCGTCATGGATGCCTGGGTGGCCTTGAAATAGTCCGCACAAAACAGCCTGCACGTCGTCGCGTCCATGTAACTCATGACTCTCATGACTAGCTTAATATGACCCACATGACATGACACACTCATGACTAGCGAGGGTTACATCTTAAAAAGAACAGGACTGTGAACTGCGCCGAATGATCTAGAAGATGACTATTTCAGTTCAAAATCCCCTGCCAATGTGGAACACTTCCTTTAAGCGGATTCAGGACATCAATGGCAGTCTTTGGTTATCTTGACGCAGTTTATTATCACACTCTTTTATCGAATCACGGGCGTAGCCTCTTTCCCAGCAACCTCCTAACAGGATAAGTGAACAGCGGGCAGTCGCATAGCTGTCCTCACCTGTCGCCTTTGACCTCACCTACCCCCCCCCCCTCCCCGCCAGGCGGCGTTCCTAGACTACTGGCGGGATTTGTCCCCCCGCTCCCCACCTGACCATGCCCCTCACCACACATGCATTCACGTGCACCTGAACCCGTGACCCCGACTGACCCCACGTCGCACCTCGTTGACGCGTGAACCACCCGACGTTTGCAGGTCATCACAGGTGGCCGTGGTGGATGCCGGTCACTGGACCGAGGCATGGTCGGCAGAGCCATGCCGACACATGTGTCCAGAACTGGCCGGAGGTTGCATCGCGCCTCACCTTTGGTGCGACAGCGTCCACCACTGTCCCTCTGGACGCGACGAGGACCCAGGTGACGCCAGCGATAACAAGTGGCGCGGCCGAGAGGCGGCGCGCTCTTGACCCAAATGATGATCATCATCATCATCAAACACGTGGGTGGGGCTACGGGTGTTTTTGTCAGCAACTGTCTTCCGGTGGTGCGGCGAGCCGAAAGTTCGGTGTGATCTTATCTTCCGTGTCATTTGATATGCCGCTGGGGCCTCGCGAACGCGGCGAAAATAGCTTCGCTGACGTCGGTGAGAATTAATTCGCCGGGCCTTTGGTCTCGGATCCGCCCGAGAGAGAAGACAAAAACGTTACTCTCGAACGGCTTCGGATGGTAAATCTCACAATCCTATAAACGACTTTTTGCTATGGCGCAAAGGGCTGCGTTTTGGTCTGGACACCGATCCGAGGCAGTTCTTTTTCGCTCCCAGGCTGGATGCTACCACAGATCCTCTTATCGGTCGGGAGCATTTGATTCAGCTATCATTCCACACCTGGTACATCTCTGCCAAGATCCTTCGAGCCGGTTTTTGTCCCGCGCAGGCTCCGATTCTATAGGATCTGTATCTGGACATGCATCGTCTGTTGGAGTCAAACACGACAGGGGACTGATATTGCCCGACTCTGACACAACAGTCCAATGCTCCATAACAGAGCATATTATATTTTTGTTTTGACTGCAGATGCATGTAGTCATCAATGCCCTCCCCTTGACTCTATTCTCTCCCCTAGCTTCGTGTTGTCCATTTGAATCTTCTTGGGGGGGGGGGGGGGAGGGGGCACTTCTTTACTTCCAGTTAAAGGAAATGCTCCGCATTTAAGGACATTGAAGCAAACACAAGATATCATGAAATAAGCATCACTTATAGCTATTGGTATACTATTGAATGAAAAGACTGTTTTTGACAACACAGTTTCTCTGCTTGATAATCCGCCCTTCAATACGTCGTTGTCTCATTATGTTATCGTACCTTGCACAGCATCAATCGAGAGCCAACTGGCGGCCATTTGATCTCGAAGTCGTGCTCACGGACGCCAGATATGAACGACTCGATGGACATATTTGGGTGTGGTCGCTACATGGCCAATAGAATGGCAGGATTTGAATGACGTGAATATAGCGTCATGAATACCTGGGTGACCCTGAGATAGTCTGCACGAAACATTCTGTACATCTGCGGTGGAGTGTAGCTCAGAAACCAGAGGCCTCGAGATCTTAAGGAGGGCATGACCATCAAATGCAGCAAGTGATCTTCAAGATGGCCGTTTAAGTCGGTGGTTGTCCCGTGCCAAATTCACCACAGTCACCTGCCACAACTCGACCAACATCAAGAGCGATGGCTGTTATTCATAAACATGGCAAACATTGTGTGTTTGACGTGGATGATGGGGACGTCAACTGTGGTTTCCGAAGAGCTCCGCCTCGCCCACACACCTGACGTCACCCCCCCCCCCCCAGCGATCTGCCACCGCTGGTCGATCCCGTGGCTGTACGTGGGGGTGGGCGCGTCTGCCCTGTTCATCATCGTCATCCTCTGCGTCGCCGCCATCGTGCACCGCAAGCAGAAGAGGCCGCCGGCGACGGGCGCCGCTGTGGGGGCGATTGCTCACGATCCTCACGAGAAGCGGCTGCCCACAGACGAGGTAAGGTCACGTCCTGCCAGCTCGGATGGATCGCTGGAGACATCGAAAGGCGACGCAAAAATGTGGTTACTGGACAGGGGTGTGATCACAAACAATTATGCCGGGGAACCAAACACTAGCCGCGAGTAAGTTTGAACCAACGGCCGGCACGTGCATTGCATAGCAGTGCTCATTTCGAGGACAGTGCTCCGGACAGCGTTCCTATCATAAGACGGTATAACGCGAGTGCCATCACAATGCACGTCACACCAGATACCTTACCCGTTACCATCACATGACACTTTTGCTTCTCATTCTCTCAGGAGTCAGAAGGCTTATCGATAGCGATTATCGCCAGGGAGTGTTCCCAAGCCGTTTAGCGAGTAAGGCTGCTAGATTGATTGCTGTCATCTCTGGGGAGAGGTATCAACGTGTGCATGTTCATCTCTAGGGAGAGGTATCACCATGTGCATGTTCATCTTTGGGGAGAGGTATCACCGTGTGCATGTTCATCTCTGGGGAGAGGTATCACCGTGTGCATGTTCATCTTTGGGGGGAGGTATCACCGTGTGCATGTTCATCTCTGGGGAGAGGTATCACCGTGTGCATGTTCATCTCTGGGGAGAGGTATCACCGTGTGCATGTTCATCTCTGGGGAGAGGTATCACCGTGTGCATGTTCATCTCTGGGGAGAAGTATCACCGTGTGCATGTTCATCTCTGGGGAGAGGTATCACCGTGTGCATGTTCATCTCTGGGGAAAGGTATCACCGTGTGCACGTTCATCTCTGGGGAGAGGTATCACCGTGTGCATGTTCATCTCTGGGGAGAGGTATCACCGTGTGCATGTTCATCTCTGGGGAGAGGTATCAAGGTGTCATGGTCTCCTCCACAACACCGAATAGCCGTTACGCGCACAGACGGGCACAAACCAGCTCTTGTTACCGTGTGCGTGTGTAATTCTAATCTTCAGCAGACTGTCTGAAGTTTAGCAGTCAGAGGGTAAAGTGCGTACGTATCCCCAATATACCCACTTACTTAAACTCGGTCAAATGCGCAAATTACTCCATTCCTGTATCAACCACCTTGCATTGCGCAATTAGCTTACACTGCAAACTCGGCGTCCAATGTCTCACCTTGAAAACACAGCGTTTGTATGTTTCTTTGCTTCCTATTTGCTTCGCTTGTTTCATTTTCTGTCTGCCTTTTTCTTCTCTTTTCCCACCTTTCCTTCGCTCCTTTTTATTAGTACATAGAATTATATCTCTCTCGCCATTCTCTCTTTGTTCTATATCGATCTACATCTACATATTTATTTATCCCTACATCCTACATAGATGTCTGTATGTTTACATCTCTCTGTTGCTATGTCCATTTCTAGACCCCTCTCATCTCACTCTCTCTCTCTCTCTCTCTCTCCTCTCTCTCTCTCTCTCTCTCTCTCTCTCTCTCTCTCTCTCTCTCTCTCTCTCTCTCTCTCTCTCTCTCTCTCTCTCTCTCTCTCTCTCTCTCTCTCTCTCTCTCTCTCTCTCTCTCTCTCTCTCTCTCTCTCTCTCTCTCTCTCTCTCTCTCTCTCTCTCTCTCTCTCTCTCTCTCTCTCTCTCTCTCTCTCTCTCTCTCTCTCTCTCTCTCTCTCTCTCTCTCTCTCTCTCTCTCTCTCTCTCTCTCTCTCTCTCTCTCTCTCTCTCTCTCTCTCTCTCTCCTCTCTCTCTCTCTCTCTCTCTCTCTCTCTCTCTCTCTCCTCTCTCTCTCTCTCTCTCTCTCTCTCTCTCTCTCTCTCCCTCCTCTCTCTGTATGCATATACAGCTATTGGTCTTTTCATATTTTTTTCTATCTTACCTTTATCTCCTTCTTTGTTTCCGTCTTCGTCCCTAGCTCTAGCTCAGTTTCTCTCTCTCTCTTCTTTCCTCCATTTCTCCCTCCTCTCCTCCCTCTTTTCTGCCTATCCTTTACTTATTCTTCTTCTGCTCATATGCCCTTCCTTTACTTGCTTATCTTCCTCTTTCGTTCTCATTCCCGCTCTCCCTGCTCTCTTTTTGCTCTTCCTTTCCATTCTCTCGCTGGTTCCTATTTCCCCTCCGACTCTCACAGGTGTCAGGTTTCTCACGCTGATGTAAACATGAACACAGCGCAGAGGCAGTCGCCATTACACGGCCCGGCCTGGCCGCAGCGGCACTGGTCCATCCTCATCGGACATGGGACCACGCTGCTGTTTACAGGCGACGCCGGCTACGGCGCGTCCTCTATTGGCGTGTACTGCCTGTGTGGGCCGATGTCAGTGGCGGTCCAAGGACTTGTCTCTGTTGAGCGGCCAGGTTTCACGTCGCATCGTGCGAACTGACTTACGTAATTGGCTGAGGAATGTTTGATTGCGTTGGAGTGTGAATCGATTCCCGGTGGCCGTGTGAGGTCTGACCCCTTTCTTTCTAGCAAGCTTTTCTTTCTGTGTCACGGTTGCCCACTGTGGAACTGTCTCCAATGTGGACCAATCCACGCAATGGCTCCGGTCCCCCGCCTCCGCCCACTGTCCGCCTTCCATAGACTACGTTTGATCGAGTGCAGTCTGCGCTTGGGCCGCGCCAGGGGCGACGCCTGGCGCGGCCGTCAGCGAGGCGGCTGTGTAGCGTCCCCGCCTGCCGGGCTCCTCCACGGGAATGTGGAGCGGCATCCGCCCCTGCCCCGGTCGATGCCACCGGCTCTGACCCGGTGCACGTGTCGGTGTCCGGGTGCCGGAATTGAAGATGGATCGAACTGCGGGCCAAGTTTTCTCGTCTATCAGAGGTCTACGGCATGACGAAGTGCCGTTCAGCAGCCGAGAGAGCGCGTGACTCAGTCAGCGGCTTCTGTTGCTGGAAAAGATCGTGACCTTTGTTTGAATGGAGAGGGCGTAATCAATGGAACTATCCACCCTCAGCTTTATTCACATGCATTACATATTTGCATTCATGAATCACAGACATATTCACAATGCATCCATTGTTCATGTTTTATAGTGTGTCTTGTTTTGCCAATATTTAGTTGAAGTTGGACCTGCAAATAATCCAGTCATGGGCCACGAACTTTCACAATAAATGGGAACTTCTAGCATGCGCAGCTGGTCAGTGCAAGCATCCATGATCTTACCCGAACCCCTAGACCAGAGCATTCCACCTGCCCGGTACGAGCAGCCATGACCTTACCTGAACCTCTAGACCAGAGCATTCCCACCTGCCCGGTACGAGCAGCCATGACCTCTCCTGAACCCCTAGACCAGAGCATTCCACCTGCCCGGTACGGGCAGTCATGACCTCTCCTGAACCTCTAGACCAGAGCATTCCACCTGCCCGGTACGAGCAGTCATAACCTCTCCTGAACCTCTAGACCAGAGCATTCCCACCTGCCCGGTACGAGCAGTCATGACCTCTCCTGAACCTCTAGACCAGAGCATTCCCACCTGCCCGGTACGAGCAGTCATGACCTCTCCTGAACCTCTAGACCAGAGCATTCCACCTGCCCGGTACGGGCAGTCATGACCCCTCCTGAACCTCTAGGCCAGAGCATTCCACCTGCCCGGTACGGGCAGTCATGACCTCTCCTGAACCTCTAGACTAGAACATTCCCACCTGCCTGGTGCGAGCAGCCATGACCTCTCCTGAACCTCTAGACCAGGGCATTCCCACCTGCCCGGTACGAGCAGTCATGACCTTACCTGAACCTCTAGACTAGAACATTCCCACCTGGTCGATGTCGGCAGCCATGGCCTCATCTAAACTTCGCGCGGCGCCTGACGGCATCAGCAGCTGTATGCGTGGTGCGGCGCCACTGATGTCTACAGCAATCCACAATCTCCAAGTATGAACTTGATGTGCCCACGATGATAATCAATCATGCGCCGTTCTCGCTCTCCGGACGAGGGCATTAGTCCAACGCGTCGCAACTGCCTTAGCGAGTTCGTTTTACTGCTTGTTGTGGACTCTCGGGACGTCCGCACTAGTTTTCCGCCCTCCGCAGCGCACCAAAGTTATTTCAACGAACCGCCCCTTCTCCCGCGTCATCAGAACCACCCACGCTCTTTCCGTACCGGAGCAAGCCCTGGCGGCGTTTCCGGCGAGCAGTAATCCCCGACCGTTAAGGCGCCTGGCGCCGCCCGGGCCTGGCGCTGGCGGCGTTTCCGGCGAGTAGCAATCCCCGACCGTTAAGGCGCCTGGAGCCGCCCGGGCCTGGCGCTGGCGGCGTTTTCGGCGAGTAGTAATTCCCGACCGTTAAGGCGTCTGGAGCCGCCCAGGCCTGGCGCTGGCGGCGTTTCCGGCGAGTAGCAATCCCCGACCGTTAAGGCGCCTGGAGCCGCCCGGGCCCGGCGCTGGCAGCGACCGCTCCGCAGAATCAGCAGGCGGCGTTCGTCGCCGACCAGCTTCCTCCAGCGCTCGACCTGACACGATATTGGCACCTCGGCCCGCCGTTTGAGTGTGGCCGCCGCCATCGGCGGCCGTCACAGCGCCTCTCGACCGGCGCCCGCCGGATGTCGCAACAATGGCCTCGCGCTAAGTCGTTCGCGGAACGCCCGAGGCGCCGGCCGCGCGACCGCGCAGTCCTTTGCGGGGTCGGAAGCGGCCCATGTCGTCGGCTGGGCTTACCCCAGCTGTTATCGCGGTGAACTGGGCAGGAAGAGGGGGGGGCATATGTTCATGTTGGGCAGTGCGGTGCTTTGGTGGATGAGATGGACTGACTGGTTTCTGTATGGGTGAGTGTGAGGTGCCATCCTGCTTGCTTGTGCTCCTGCAGCTTCACATATTGGCAAAAGTTGTATGCTCACGGACCCGCGTGCAGAAAGGTCCAGGTAACGTAGCTTCCAGCCTGGGCGCTAAACCTCTCAAATATGCTGAATTTTCAGAATCCAGTCCAGTCGACTCCATCTGTTTCAGTTGCATTCCACACTGCAATTCTGGTTTTCACAACTTAAGGCCAGACCTGGTCAATTCACAGAATTAACGATATTTCCCAGCAAGCAGACATATTTAGAGCATCAGCCCATCACCTTACAGCTCGGCTTATCTTCTATGACAAATGTAGCAATGCAGCGCACATCTGTGGCACCTCTGACTCGAACTGGAGTTTTCACGCTGTTCGGATAACTTCAAACCACCACATATTTTGTTCAATGTTCATGCTCCCAACTAAGGCCCATCTGCATCACTTGGAGCATCCCCGAACCAGTTCAGCTTAATCTATAGATCAAGTCTGGGTTGACGGATGCATCCAGTCTGTGAAGAACGCCGCTAATATCATCAAAATTTCAGAGCGTTCAGTCTAAAGTCGTCTAAGGGTGCCCCTCAGCTCCACACATACACTGACGCATGAACGGAACACTAACGCACAGTTCAACGAAAGTGTGGACCGCTTGGTCGCATGGGAGTCCATGAGCCAGTTGGCTCATTCTGCCTCGCTAGCGTGCCGCCACGTTTGACTCCCGTAGGCTCATTTTGCCTCGCTAGCGCGCGGCCATGTTTGACTCCCGTTGGCACATTCCGCTTCGCTAGCGCGCCGCCATGTGTGAAGTCTGCCCTTGGTCTTTGCGACGTCGCAGACGTTCTTGCTCTGCTCCGCCTTGAGACCATGTCTGCTCAATTCATCAGCCCTTGACAACAGGAGACGAAGCGCAAGGGACCGCCGCGTTAAGTGCCACACCTCGTCTACAAAACATGTCGTGTTTCTCGTACTTTCGCAACAGAAAAATTGCTTCACTGACAGCTCCCCAGGTGGCGAGCGAGAGTCGGACGCGCACGAGTCCAACCCCAGCGCTGAGGGAGTCGGCCGCGCACGAGTCTAACCCCAGCGCTGCGAGAATCGTCCGCGCACGAGTCTAACCCCAGCGCTGCGAGAGTCGGCCGCGCACGAGTCTAACCCCAGCGCGGCGAGAGTCGGCCGCGCACGAGTCTAACCCCAGCGCTGAGAGAGTTGGCCGCGCACGATTCTAACCCCAGCGCTGCGAGAGTCGGCCGCGCACGAGTCTAACCCCAGCGCTGCGAGAGTCGGCCGCGCACGGGTCTAACCCCAGCGCTGCGAGAGTCGGCCGCGCACGAGTCTAACCCCAGCGCTGCGAGAGTCGGTCGCGCACGAGTCTAACCCCAGCTCTGCGAGAGTCGTCCGTGCACGAGTCTAACCCCAGCGCTGCCTGTTTCAGACGCTCGCCAGTGGGAACCTGTACAGCGGCAGCTCGTCACTGAAAAACGGCAAAGACTTGATATCCGCCCCGTCCACCTACTCCATGGACTCGGTGGACGTGGACCTGGTGGAGACCACGGTGTAGCAGTGGCCGGCCGCGAGCGTGCGACTACCCGCGGGACTGTCACGCGGCAGCCGTCACGCCGCGTGAGCGACTCGCGGCGTGACTGTGACTCACGCGTGACCCGGCAGAGGCGTGGCGCCCGGCCGGCGCGTGCTGTGACGCCTGGTAACTGGCGTCGCGCCAGTGACGGACTCGTGGTGGGACCGTGGGCGTGGAGTGACGTTACTCGGCGCCGACCTGCTGTGAGACAATCACCTCCGACGAATATGGGATGATCAAACTGCTCACCGGCCGGCCAAGCTCACTGACAGAGGGACCAGCAACCGATGTTTTTACGGTGAGCACGCCGGCACCCATTGATGGTTAACACTAGAGACTACTTATAAACAGTTCACTCCCGGCTGAAACCGAACTCGACCCGCTCCGTGTTCCTTTGAAGTGGGCTCATATTTGGCTAGAGAGGTTTCGAGCCGCTTGGGTAGCTTCAGTCATAATCCCTTCCCCCCCCCCCCCACCCCCTCCCCAAGGGCTGTGTAAAACCCGCCGTCGATCCGGCGAGCTTCGAGCACGGTATAGTGTTAATCAGTGGGGAGCAGTGATCCACGGCGCACTAACCTCAAGCACACGACGTCACCACAAGTACGCGACCCACGGCTGCTACGACATGTATTGTCGATGGGCGGACGCTATTTCTAAGCTGCGAGGAGTCTCCTCCCCTACCCTTCCGTATGCAATGTTTGTCTCGGACTTGAACACGTGGGCACATATCCTCTCGTCCCTTAAGGAGCTTAAACGCACAAACATCAACAACAGACTCACGTGCTTATTGACAATCGGGTTCACCCTTTCCACCTCCCCAAGTGTCCCTGACCACGCCCCTGCCTGTTCACAGCCTCAGGTCGGTCTGAAACTGCCGCGCTGAACCGGCCGCTGCCCGGGCCGGCACCACGGCCCCGCCTTCTGGACGGGCCTGCGTACGCGCCGCCCTGCGGCGCGTGCCGTCTCGCCGCTGCGGTTCTCAGCGCTGCCACCTCGTAGCAGCGAGGTGGCGCGTGCGCAGCCAGTCGCCTGCAGATCTCCGTGCTCAGCAGCAGGCGTCACCAGCGCGGGCCTTCAGCCAGGCCGGCTGGGGTCAGCAGCAGGCGTCTGGCGGCAGCTGGAATCAGCAGCAGGCGTCTGGCGGCAGCGGCAGGCAGCTGGTGTCAGCTGATATCTCCTGGATTCAAAAAGCGGCCGCTAGAATGAGCAGCCGCCGGCTTGGCGTCCGTTGTTGCCAAGTTCTCTGAAGTCTTTATACCCAGTGTAACACGTGATATGCGCTGGTGTTCCTCTCCTTGTGTGCTCGTTACCCCGTGGGCGACAACAGTGTGCGCCCGGGTCAAATGCCGGAGGCTGGGCGCGGTGCCGTGCTCGAAATGTGCTCCTTGGCCTGTGATCTGTGTTTTCGCGACCTGGTGCTTGGTCGGCTCGGCCAGGCGACACCGGGCTCCGGCTGCTGAAGCTTCCACAAAAAGCGCGAGGAACGCGGATGCAGCTGAAGCAAGGTGCTAATGGAAGCTGGAACAAACGATGTCAGGTGTTTTAACGCAGGCGCAGGCTTGGATGAAAAAACCAGGGCGCATACAGCCAACTAAAGCAGAACACAAGGCATATGCAACAAAATAGGAGGGACTATAGATAAGACAGTAGTGCTAGCCCTATTCCTATAGAAAAAAAAAACAGGAGAAAGGAGAGATGGATCTATTGACATTCCCGCTGCATGATTGTATCGAAACGAATATGAGCAGTTAAGTTCAACATCCTGCAGATTGCCTCGGTACATACCTGCCAATTCCACTCAATTTTTCAGGTTTTGATGTCAAACGGCCGGCCTGTGTTTACGAGTCCGAATTCGAGGTTGTAAGAACTGTGGCTCGCTGTTAAAGAAAAAGCCGAAAAATTAAGAGGAATCAGCAATTTCGGCAGGCAATTACAGCGTTGAATTTACTACTGATGTTCGTTCTGATAGTGGCATCTAGCCGAAATATCAATTCATCTATCTCTTCTTTCTTCTTTTTATTCTACGAGGATTGAGGCCAACAGTACTGTCTTGTCTATATACATAATGTTCCTTGCAAATGCACTTGCACGTACACAACTGCACAAACGAGGAACTAGACGCACATTTCATTCGTTCCCTTACTTGGTGTGTCTGCCAAAAACATGAGTAGCATTCAAGCGGTGTTGCTTAGAAAAGTATTATGGCAGGAATCCCGGTTCACCGCTCTGTGGATAGATGAAGGAACGTCTCAGAGAGCAGAGGTGCCAAATTGTTTTGAAGTAAACTTTTTCCATGCATCGCCACCGGGTTAATGCTCAGCATTCTCAGAAATTGGGAGTGCCATAACACCTGCATGATCGCTCGCCTCTATTCACATGTTTCTGAGCTTACAGCATATATTTTCATTATCGTCCACATAAGTTTTGTTAATGCATTCGAAACGCTGTAAACTGTAAACACACACAGATTATAATAAAACGAATTACCAGATATGGCAAACAACAGCTTTACAAGGCTTGAAGAATGTTTGTTCATGTGCCAGGAGATATTATTCTGTCCGCTTCCGCTAAAGCTACGATTTGATGTGATTATTTCGCACAGCTTTTTTTAAAGCTGCCTAGACGGCGTGATTTCGGTAACAAAAGAAGCATTCTTTCCACTGGAAACAAGCCGAACTGTGAAATTACCCGTCCGTTTGTTCGGTGTCTGGTAAACATTAAGCGATTTCGCCAACTGCAACTCTTGGTCTATCCAGCATGTCGTCGTGAGCAGTTGCTAACTATCTATCACTTGGCGCGAACATGACAGAGCCTGCAGCTTTTAACAAGTTCGGTTGTCTAACAGGCGGGCTTTTGATTTCACGCCTTCAACAAACTTTATCATCTGCCAAAATACGAGGCCGCCGAAGCGATTCCAATCGAGCCTGATGTTCGCGCAGAAGTTGCGCCATTTTTTCCGGCGAAGACGGTCACGGCTATTCTTACACTAAGAAAGAAGGCTTCCTCGGAAACCAGCGTGGCGCCGCCTTAATCTCAGACCATTTATCCGCTCGTGGCTCACACCTTCTGGGCCGGCAGTCGAAGCAGGCAATTAAGCCCGTCGTGTGGCCGGCGAGCCATTGCTCGTTCGACCGCCCAGTCCCGGACACTTATCGCGCCATTGTGCCGAAAATGGCGCCAACACGCCATGTTAGCACCAGCTGTCCATCGTTACGCCTGCCTGCCTACCGTCTGGCCTGACGCCGGCGAATGGCGAGTCCGGTGCGGGGTCCCGGCGCGGAGTCACGTCTGTGGGACGGTCGTGAGGACTGCCGGAGCGGGAGGAGGGGTGCTGAGCGCCTGCCAGTGGCCACATGGCCCGCCGGGCTGCCGTTGCTGAGCTCTGCTCACCTTGTGGGCGCACAAAGCGTGTATGGTAAAGCCGGAGGCAATCTGATGTTGATTCATGCTCCACTCGCTTGCTTTGGAAAGCCAGCCTCGAGCTTCTTCCAGTGCGCCTCTCATGCGTTCGAAGCGAAACGCTTGAGGCGCCGGTGATATCCTTACTTACCTTCCGCTTATTTTCGGATTGTAGGGTGCAGATGTGGCAGCAATTGAAACAGGCCATAACGCCATATAGAATATTTCACGCATGGGATCTAGAAATCCACTAAAACTTGACCGGTAGTTTTTAGCACCCAGCTATAAATGTGATGCATTTGGCATGATGAAATGATTCCCATTTATCATACAGAAACCCAAATATTCCTTCATTTGATAAATGTAGATTGTTGTGTAAGATGGAGCCACACTTACAGGGAACTTTCCAACTTTTGTAAGGGGTTTAAATCACATTCTTTTTTTTCTTCAAGATAGCGCCTATGGGCACTATCTAGAAAACAACGACCTAAACCCTAATGTACCCAATGATTTCGAAAAGTTTCAACTCTGTCCGGCTTAGTATAACTGGTTTGCCTTAGGCAACGCTTTGCACTAGCACTTGAAGCGTTGTTCTGCACGCAATGGGCAATGGTGCGGCTTTTTCCTATATTGTTGATTCCTCCTGCGTCTGCGCGACATCCTGACCAGCGGCCAGCGAGTGCGCTGCATCGCATGTAAATAATGTCGGCATTCATAGGTCCAGTGATGAAGGCAAACTAACCAAGTCCGAGATTTTGAAGACCGGCGCGCACTGATGCACCCGAGGGGCTGAATTCGCACTGATGCACCCGAGGGGCTGAATTCACACTGATGCACTCGGGGGGCTGAATTCGCACTGATGCACCCGAGGGGCTGAATTCGCACTGATGCACCCGAGGGGCTGAATTCGCCACTGATGCACCAGGGGGGACTGAATTCGCACTGATGCACCCGAGGGCTGAATTCGCACTGATGCACCCGAAGGGGCTGAATCGCACTGATGCACCCTGGGGGCTGTCCTCTGAATTCGCACTGATGCACTGGGGGCTGAATTTTCGCCACTGATGCACCCGGGGGGCCGAATTCGCATGATGCACACGAGGGTCCCTGAATTCGCCACTGCATGCACCCGGGGGCTGAATTCGCACTGATGCACCCGAGGGGCTGAATTCGCACTGATGCACCCGGGGGGCTGAATTCGCACTGATGCACCCGGGGGGCTGAATTCGCACTGATGCACTCGGGGGGCTGAATTAGAATGCTGGTCTGATGGCGAGCGCGAAGCGAGCAGAACACGGGTCACACACACGCGCATACACACACACACACACACATGCACACACACGCTCAAACAGCTGTTGGTGTTCGCCGATGGTAGTTCGCTTAGGATGACGTGTGTCGCGCGTGCCTGTTGCTGAGTGCGCTCGTTACGTTAGTGCCCCGTCGCTCGGGGGTGTTAGTCTGCGACTGCAGGAGGTCTGTATCAGGCGCGTCCACTTGCGGGTCATAACTGTCGCCAAGAGCAGGTACCTCGTGACTGTTGGAACGGCAGGATGAGTGCTTCTGAGCTTTTGAATGAATGGTGGCTCCGTGGCTGGAGTCACGCAACCCCTCTTCCGTCTGTGGGTGTGATAGTGGGACGTGTTGGCCAGGAATGCGACGGCCGAGGAGTGCGTGGCTTCGCAGTGGATTCCTGTTGTGATCCCCGCTTTCAGATGTTCTAACGCATTTATTTGTATCATCGAGTCGCTCAGAGTCCCGAGGAGCTTGCTGGTTGGTATCTGCCGTGTTATTGTTAGCATTGTACAGGCGCATAACACCGGGGCGACTTCATGCTGCATTCCACACGCACGCCGTGTGCTGGTACACAGCCGATTGTACCACACTTACCGTCTCTTTGCATGAAAAAACTGCTTGTCGGGGAGCGTTGAATGAAATTTAGGTGAGGAATTTGAACTGGATCACTATTTCAAAGCAATGGAGAATGTAATGGGAAAACACCGAAGCATGCCAACATCTACCAACTTGTTTTTTCAGCCTGTAGCACGCCCGCGGCCATCACCAACAGTCCCTCTAACACCGCCGTGTCCACTGTCCCGCTCGGCGCCCGGCTCTGTAGCCGGGCTGCTCCAAGGCCGTGCCAAACCACAGTCTACCCGCTCGCCATCGTCAGGCGTCACCTGTTGCGATTGCAGCTGGAAGCGCCATTTGTCTTGCGTACAGGGTCACATCGATCGCCCAGGCCCTGTCGGAGGCGCCGTGGGGTCCGCGGGCGCCCTCCAAACGCTGTGTGTTCGTGTGAGCGAGTATACAGTTGAATACAAAATCAGCTCGCCAGTGTCTCTATATGTCACGGGCCCGCTACTTGTTTACGGAAGCAGCGGTTGGGAGTGTCGGCGAAGCCGCTGAGTCCACAGTATCTGCACCACGAAAGCCTCTCTATAAGTACAGCGCAGACGTCGAGGATCACTCGAGGCAGCGTTAGCACCGAACACCTCAAGTCCACCAATTATCAACGGAGCTGTCAGGTTGAGATGCGCTTAGAGCACTGCCCGTGTTCCACCCTCGCCTCGCAGCCCGATCTGACCGCGTGACTCCGAACTGCGACCGAACCTTTTGAACTCCGCCGGACCCCTGCACCGGGACTGAAGCAGTGCAACTCCCTCCCCTCCTAATCTGCGCCCAAACCTTCTGACCTCTGCCGGACTCCTGCACAGGGACTGGGGCAGTGCGACTCCCTCCCCTCCTAATCTGCGCCCAAACCTTCTGACCTCCGCCGGACTACTGCACTGAGACGGGAGCAGCGCCCCCCCCCCCCCCCCCTCCTTTCCCTCCTGCACAGTGCCCAAATCATCTAACCTCCATCGGACTCTTGCACTGGAATGGGGGCGGCTCGGCCCCATTCTCTCCCAATCTGAGCCCCAACCATTTGACCTCCGCCGGACTGCTGCACTGGGACTGGAGCGGGGCCGTCCCATCCCCATCCCCTCCTGAACAGCACCCAAACCATTTGACTCCATCGGACTGTTGCACTGGGATGGGGGCGGCGCGGCCCCATCCCCTCCTAATCTGCGCCCAAACCATCTGACCTCCGCCGGACTGCTGCACAGGGACTGGAGCGGGCCTCCCCATCCCCCTGCCCCGACCCAGCCCGTACTGCAGTCGACAGCCGGCCCAGGTGGCCGTCGCCTGCGGCACCGCCGGGTCGATAGCTCCGCGTCGGAAGCGACGGGCTCGGCAGTGCGGGCCGCCCCACCCCCGACTGGAGAGAGAGCTCTGTCAGCAGTGACGCGCCAGTCGCCGCCCGCAGCCCGCGCCATCGCTCGGGGCGCACCTCGCCACAGGTTACCTGATGAGGAGCGTGCCCCGGGCGCTGAAAACCATAGAACGCTCAAAGCGACGCTCAAGCAGGGTAAGGTGCTTCTTCCCGAGGCGTCTTCAAACACCACTGGGCCCGTCACTGCGTTCCAAATTACTTCTTGGTTGTATCTACCGTCCCGAGACTCAAAACGCCAGTCCTCTATTTCGCAGAATTTCAAATGAACTCAAGACTATGTGTGCAGAGCTTCGTAACAACAGCTTGCTGTGAGCAGCCAGTGGCGTGCTTGTGAAGGACACCCAACTAATTTCTTCTCAATGGTGACGTAGCAAGCTTTTGGAGAGATAGGCAGAAAGGGAGAGCGAGTGAGAGAGAGAGAGGGGAGAGAGAGGGAGAAAGAAAAATAAAGGAGAGAGAGAGAGAGAGAGAGAGAGAGAGAGAGAGAGAGAGAGAGAGAGAGAGAGAGAGAGAGAGAGAGAGAGAGAGAGAGAGAGAGAGAGAGAGAGAGAGAGAGAGAGAGAGAGAGAGAGAGAGAGAGAGAGAGAGAGAGAGAGAGAGAGAGAGAGAGAGAGAGAGAGAGAGAGAGAGAGAGAGAGAGAGAGAGAGAGAGAGAGAGAGAGAGAGAGAGAGAGAGATAGATATATATATAGATAGATATATATATATATATATATATATATATATATATATATATATATATATATATATATATATATACATATCAGTGTGTATGTGTATGTGTGTGTGTGTATGAGTGTGTGTTTGTGTGCATGTAGATATGTATGTCAATATGCATGTATGCATGTGCATGTATGCATGTGTGTGCGTGTGCGTGTGCGTGTGCGTGTGCGTGTGCGTGTGCGTGTGCGTGTGCGTGTGTGGTGTGTGTGGTGTGTGTGTGTGTGTGTGTGTGTGTGTGTGTGTGTGTGTGTGTGTGTGTGTGTGTGTGTGTGTGTGTGTGTGTGTATGTTTGTGTGCACATCCCTTCGAGTTTCGTGTTTATGTTTGCTTAATGTGGCCAATAGATCAGCTTGGGACGTCCTTTTTTCGCTGCAGAAAGGCTGGCTTCCTCAAGATCATGATATCTGATTGTATCGAACCGTCTTGGAGCACTCGACCTTTTGGGAGCGACTTGGCTGACTTGCCTTGCATGATGGCATGGTTTACTGTTTGGCTTGTAGTTTTCTTTGTTGGTGTTTTCAGTTAATTTAAATAGCGTCGAGGCTGTTCGGAACAAGGGTGCATTTTCCTATTTACCTGTGGAATTAGCCCCCTCCCCCCCCCCCACCCACCTCCCTTTCTCTCTCAAAAACTTGGACCAAGCTCCCGAACTTTGAGAAGACAGTAGGCCAAATCCGGTGAGAAACCCGTTGTTGGCGTATGTTTGCGGGCAGTGCCAGGCCTCCGCCTGAGCCAGAACCAGCCTGGTTCGAACCCCCAAGCACATGGGTACTCAGAAACCAACTGTATTAGATGGTTGCTCCAGGGCCGACCTCGACCAGCCACCGCCGCTGGCGCTGACCCCCGCCCGCGCAGGGGCGGACCCAGTTGCAGCAGAGACGGCTCATAGGCAGGTGCATCTTTTTTACCGTTCCGCAACCGAACTCGTTTTGCGAATCTACGCCCCTGGTTCATAATTTTGTAGCCTCCATATAACGTTTTTGTCCATACCTGTTAAATCTGAGTCGTCCATGTACAGAGTAGAGCATGTGTTGGATTAAGATAGACTGCAAATAAATAAATATAACTTTATATTATATTATTTATATGTTATGAATACCAATTAAACAAAACTAATCGATCGGATTGCTAGACTCCCTGGAAAAGACTCCCTGGGAGGAAAGGAGGGGAAAACTCCGCAGTTGCCGCGCCCTTAAAGCGCAGTAACTAAGGGAGACCTATCTTGCCTATCTTGCTTAACCAGAGAAGGCGCGCCATCCCATCTAGAAACAGGTGGCTCAAGCCCCCCCATTTGTCACACCGGGCTCAAGGCGCTGGACTTCAGTTCTGTGCGCTTACAGTTTGAGATGCGGTTTCCAACCTCGCAGTTGACACGTTCAGATACGACCGCGGCAGTTTGAGATGCGGTTTCCAATCTCGCAGTTGACACGTTCAGATCCGACCGCGGCTGCGGACGGAGCGCTTTTCATAGGCCGACTTTGAAGCGCGTCTATTCAGTGTAGCTCTCGAAGCGGAACAACACAACATTTCCCGTATGGGCAGCGGGGGCGTGGCTGGATTCGACTGATAGCAGCAGGCGGCAGTCGGTGGTGCCGGCGGTGGCTGGCAATGCCTGTGACTGCAAGATTGGTTGGTCCGTGATCCGGGAGAAAGCTTCTTTAACCAATCATGGAAAGCCGTGTGTACGTATCGCAAGCCAATACCTACCGAATCCCGTGACCGGCTGGTTGCACTGACCTGACCTGAAGTGCGGCAGCGTGCCGTTCTGCAGACAGGATCTGGTTCAGGCCTGGCAGACAGAGCCATTGACCTGACCTGAAGTGCGGCGGTGTGCCGGCTGCAGACGGATCTGATTCAGGTGGCAGACAGAGCCATTGACCTGACCTGAAGTGCGGCAGTGTGCCGGTCTGCAGA